GGCAAGGTGGAAAGAGTGTACCATGCCCATAACCGCCTGGGGCCTTGCTCAAGTAATGCATATGAGCAAAGGCAGAGAAGATGGGAGCAAGATTCTGGAGCTCGCAGGCGGCAATATAGCTCAAAATGTTCACCCACGAGTTTTTGGGGTGAGCTGCCAGACCCCCAGGTCATACCCCTTTAAGATTTTCCTAATCCTAGTGTAGAGGGGGAACTAGAGGCCAGCTTCTATTAATGCCTCGTAGAAGACAAAATAGTTATTTGCATTCTCTATTTTATCGTCCCAGGCTCACTGCGTCCCTAGGAGGAACGATAATATCCCACCCCTTTCCAAAGGGGTGCTTATCCTTAAAAGCCCTAAAGCCACTCTTTAGCGGGGATATGTCACCCGGAAGCATCCTAATTTTCTTAGGGTCTGGGTTGTCAGCAACTTTCGCCGGCTGCTGATAGTCAGCCGCGAAATTATCTGGATCGGAGCCAGAAGCCTCGGCTCCCGATCTTTCAGCGACCTCAGTACCGCCGGATCCTTCCCCAGATCCGTTAGAGGAAGCGGCCTCTTCACTGTCTACCTCGCGTATGCTCGAGCTCCCAGAAGAAGAGGGAGCCTCTTCATCAGAATTGTTGCTCCCTTCCAAATCCTCATGTTCCCCATCCGGAACAACTTCGTCGGCAGGCAACTTCCATAGTGCGTTGACTCTTAGACTTTCTGGCCGTCTGTTTGACTCTGGTCATTGTGTCTTGCACAGACATAGAGAGGGAGGAATTCGGAGATGAGCACAGCAGTTCCAACAGTCCAAAAAAGGCACCCCCTATTCTAGACTCAACCGTTCCGGGAGACCGGCTGAGTGTCCTAGGCAGTGCCGAGTGTGTGGATTGAGAACTCATCTTCTTTCTAAGACTATGTATATAGACGGAAAAAAGAATGAATACAAGTTGGAAAAGAAAAGCTAAAAATGGTACAGGTGGTTACCTTGCGTTTGACTCTGGGAAATCTGAAAACTGCTACAGACGGTGACTGGGTGTTTCAAGGTTAGCACACGGAAATCCGAAAAAATTTGATGCAGACGGAAGCAGAGAATCTCTCTCTAAAAATCTCTCTTTCTCTCTCTAGAAAGTCAAATGAAATTGAAGTGAGAGAAGGGAAGGGGGGGTAAACTTCTATTTATAGAAGGTGAAAACGGGGGCATCCCCGTTTGAATTTCAAATTTTTACTAGTCGTTGTTACTGTTCACCTTTGATAGGTGGACATGTGTCACAGGCATCACGTGGCATTCACGTGACCCCTGTGAGGGGAAAATGTTTAGGGTTAAAATACCCTAGACATGTGGACTAATGAGAGAAGGCCACGTGTCAAGTTCAAGCTGGCCCAAGTGGCCCAATAGCCTCCTGACACGTGTCCCCTTCAGATAGTTTCTAAAATGACGACCTACAAGGGCCCAAATCCCAAGAAGCACCGTAATTCGGCGCAGCCCACTAAAATCTAGGTCAAGTGACCTAGGTAAGGGCACTCCTACCAAGGACCCTATAAATAAATAGGGAGATATTTCCCCATTTTAGGGACACATTCAATCATTTATTACACCTACTTTCTCACTCATCAGAGAAACACTTGAGCTTGTAATCCAAGCAGATCCCCACCTAAATTTCCGTACTCTTTATTCTCTTTCAAGTTACAAACATGATCTTCGGAGGCGGAGCTCCACCACCCGGAGTCTCCGTTGGTTTTGCAGGTACAGCTCAGCCGGACCAATCTTTGTGAGTAACTCTCCTGAGGGACAAAAAACACCCAAAACAGGTACACACATGCATGATCCGAAGGATACTCATATGACTGATCTTAAACAGATCATTCGCTACATCATCTACTTCTACACTTGTATCCCATACCGATGCTGATTGGGGTGGTTGTCCTGATACGAGGTGTTCCATGTCCAGATATTATGTATTTTTGTGTGATAACGTGATAGCTTGGTCATCAAAATGCCAACCTACTCTTTCCAAGTCTAGTGCTGAGGCGGAGTAAAGGGGTGTAGCCAATGTGGTTTCAGAGTCATGTTGGCTTCGTAATTTATTATTGGAGCGACATCGTCCAATTAAAAAGGCAACTTTGGTATATTGTGATAATGTGAGTGCTATTTACCTTTTGGGTAATCTAGTAATACATCAACGTACCAAGCATATTGAGATGGACATTCTTTTTGTTCGTCAGAAGGTAGCTAGGGGTGATGTTCGAGTCCTCCATGTTCCATCTAGGCACCAAATCGCGGACATCTTTACTAAGGGACTACCACGAGTATTATTTGAAGATTTTCGAGATAGTCTAAGCGTTCGTCCTCCTCCCGCTTTGACTAACGGGGTGTATTAGAATATATTGTGAGATATTCTGATTTGTATATTTGTTATATATGTTAGGTGTATATTTAGCCTCAGTCTTAGCCCTTCATTGTAGCTAGTTAGTTCCTAACTTGATGCTGTTGAATCTTGTATATAACCAAAGGTTGCTTAATGAAATAGTCACTGTTTATAATTCCTTCAATGTATCTATTGGGTTTGGGTGATGGGTTGCAATTAAATAGAAAAGGGAAAAGGGTGAGGAGAGAAAAGGAGAAAGTAAAGGTTGACAACGGATTTTTGGCCTGGTGTGACTAATTCAAAAAATTAATTTTGTGACAAATAACTTGAAAGAGAGGAAAGTAAAATTAAAAAAAAATTAATTTAGTAGTGACTAAATACCTAAAAATAAGCAAGGTGTAGACACTTACTTTTGGCCTCCTGTCTCGACGAGAAGTTTAATAATGTTACAAAAAATCCGTTCTTCATGCTAAATCAAAGTTGAAGTGTTTTTAGACTCCGAAATGCATTATAAAGTAACTTAATACCCATATTTGAAACCAAATTATATTATTAATTGGAACTAAAACGTTCTCATACATGTTCAATCTTGATTAATGACGGACCCAAACGTGTTAAATGCAATGATTGGATTAAATTGAACTTACATTGTGGAAAACCGAGTAAGTAGGACAGTTAAGAACATAATATCCATTGAAGGACTATGTAGTTGGATATACCTTTCAAAGAGCTTTTCAACTGTATTGTATAAGCTCGATTCTGAGTTAAAATGAAGAAGTTATCATTAAAATACTAAACCGACACTCTTTCACTAAAATGACCATATATTTTGATTCTTAACATATTTTAAAACTAATTTTAACGACATTGGAAAGTAAACATTCATAGGTTTCCAATGCTATCTTATTTACCTTAATCTTACTTTGTAATCAAAAGTTATGGAAGTTATAACTACACATTTTTTTTTATTTAAGGCAAATCGCGCCGTGCAATACTTTCAAAGTTGCGCGTGCCAGCCGGACGCAAGTCTTAACGTTGCACACGACACTCTAGCGCGACTTTAAAAGTTGCACGCGCCCCTTGAACCCGTGGATCTAAAACCCTAAACCTCGATTCCTACGCTTATTAATAGGGGTATTCGCTTAGACTTAAAAAATAGAAAATTCAAATTTTAAACCCTAAAGTTCTGAAAAAACTAATTTCTCAAACCCTCTTACTATCATACTAATTTTCTCCTATCTTCCCAAATACTCTCCAACCCTAATTTATTCCATTGAATCCTTGTAGGTACGAAAAAGAAGGAAGGTCCATAAGCATCTAAAATAGAGATAAAGGAGAATGGTTAGTTTCCTGAGCACTTAGGGTCTGTTCTCATACGTTGAAATTCAGTTCAGTTCAGCTTCTAATTTCCTTCTCTTATAAAATATTCATTTCAGTTCAGTTCAGTTTAGTTCAGTTCAGTTTAGCTCAGTTCAATTCAGTTCAGTTCAGCTGACTTCAGTCAATGAGAACAGACCATTAGATCAATTACCTTTTTTTCTTTTTGTTTAAAATAACTTTAATTAATTAATTAGTGTTGTTTGATCACTTTAAATAAACTCTAGTTAATTAATTCACATAGTATTCTTTTGTTAATTAAAGACTAGAATTGTAATAATTAAATTATTGTTTTATCACCTAAGTTAAGGCGAATATCATTTATTTTTTAATTTGTGTCTTTAACGAATTTGGTTAAAAAGAATTGCGACAATTATTGCAATGTAGATTTTTTGTGATTAATTTTTGTAAGTAAAATCAACTTAGTTTTTAGGAATCGTGTTGCATATTACTTGGTAATGAAATTGTGAAAATGGAAGAGCTAGTAGTAGAGGTCGTAGTAGCAGGTCTAGGATTGTGATTCTCAAAGAGAATGTTTTTCTAGTACCCTCGCTCCCGAACTAATTTATGGTTTAGTAGACCAATTTGGGCATGTGGAAACTTATGATTCATGCTTATTATCCATTGAACACTACCTAGGAGAAAGGTATGAACAAGATTTATGAGTTTCCCTAAAACTCAATTTCGACTCTCTATTGGTTTCGTATAACAAAAAAGTAATGACGGATTCAATTCTCATTTAAGGTTTCCCAATTAGTCAGGAATTCAAATCTTAACACACTCTAAAAGGTGTAAAGTGTTAGGCTTTTAAAGGATTAAGAGCATAGAGGAAATGCGATCCCCAACGTGGGCTACCCTCCTCACATAAACGAAAACTTTCTCCAATCAAAATCATAAGACATTTTAATACTACCTCTGTTACAGGTCATGTACAACGATTAGACATATTTCCTCTCTTCGTTATGTCAAATCGTTACACATAATCTGTAACGGAGGAAATAATAAAAATTACTCGCTGATTTCATTTACGCTTTCTCTTAAATACAGTCATTTAGCATCCCAACAAACCTGGCCCCATCTAGGAGATTCTACCACCAAAATATTTGAGAAATACGTAGCGTAAAAGAAGATAATTTTTTATTAATATTTTTTTTTTCCGTTCCATAAATAAGCAATGATAATATATCGGTCTCAGTTGTTTATACAAACATGAGGCGGTAGTGTTATACAAACATGAGGCGGTAGTGTTATACAAACTTTTTCCCTAGACAAACTAGATCAGGGTGAAGAAGATGGAAGAACAATGGTACGAGTGATCATATTTTTTTATTTACAATCCTGAGTGGTTTTTTGAGGCGGTAGTGTTCCAAACACTTTATCCCACATTGACGACGTTACGCCAAAGCCCTTGTCTTGAATGCAGAAGTGATGATTCAAGTGGTATCTCTGAAAACGGGAACGAAATCATTACACATTGTAATAGACTCAATCCAAGAACAATCTCACAACAGAATATAAGTTTTAGAGAAGTTTAGTCCATCACACGTAGTTAGGACATAAACATGATCCCAACTTTCTCGAGAACCTTTGAAATATTTCTAATATGACAAGTGACCCATAAAATGAATTTTGATATAAATTGACTTTGCCATATAATCCAGTGTTCTTCAAAAAAAATAAATAAATAAATAAATAAAATAAAAATAATCCAGTGTTCAAGTATAAGGATAAAAGTAAGCTGTAAGCATACCTTTAGATGTTTTGATACGTCATTAGATGGCTTCCCGTGATGTAGATAGTAGTGAGTGATATCATACATTACATATCCGAATAAGCTACCTCCAAAAATGGCGGGGGTAGTGGATGGTGTTGCAAAGATCCTGACCAAATTCCAAAACTGGAAAAGAAACGAAAATCAGAGACAAAACTAGCACTAGTCCAAAATCTGTATACCAATCAAATCTACGTTGTTATAAAATGGTCATCAGAGAGAGAAAAAGGGTAGAAAAGTTGTTATAATAAACCATTAAGCATGAGGTTTAATTCATTTCAACTAATGAGTTACATTTCAAATTATCCTATGCTGAAAATATTTTTCAGTTCTATACGGTGAAATATATACAGTCAAACTAATTTACATATTATTCCCCTCTACCTCCCTCGACCCCATCTGTTTGATTCATAAATTATAGCTTGGTACCATTATAGCTCTTTTCAAGGGTATCATTTCTTTGCACTTGCTTTCAGATTAACCTCCTGTTAATTTAGGTTTAAAGAGTATGTAAGATGGTAGTATGTTTCACCTAGCTTCTAGTCTATTGCCTCGCTACAATTGTTTCTCAATCACAATTTGTCTCTATAAGATTAGACTAGACTATTCTATATTAAAGAAATATAATTGTTTCCCTTCTATTTAAAGTGGTTGCATTTTCCATCGAAATAATAAGTTCCTTTTTTGTTCGTTACACTTTTACTTTATACCTATTTTATGGCGAATTATTCCCCACCTAACTTACTAGCAACATTTTTTTTAACTTTTTTCTACAAACACCACTTCTAACACTAATCTTACACAAACGTCCCCGATAATAATTTTTTCCTAAACTTTCTTACATATGACCCACTAACTACGGTACCCTATTCCCTTATGGTGTGTTTGGATTGAAGGAAATTGAAAGGAAGGGAAGGGAAATGGAAAGATGGAATATCTTTCATTTGGATAACAAATGAGAAAGGAAGGAAATTGGAGGAGAGAGAAATAGAAGGATTAAATTGTTGGAAATTGATCCCTTCAACAATGGAGAGATTTGGAAGGAAAATTCAACATTCTTCTCTCCCCTCCCTTTCCCTCCCATCCTCTTCTCCTCTTCCTTCCCCTTCTTTTCCTTCCTCCTTTTTTTTATCCAAACACAGTGTTAATTTGTGTATCAACAGTAATTATCACTATCAAAATAGGATGTGAATGCAATATGAAATTTAACGCTTTCTGCAATGGTCCAGTGGTGTATTCAGGATTTTCGAAGTGTGGGTTCGAAATTGTGAAAAAAATGAAGATATTTTAATTAAAGATTTAATATATAAGTTCAAATTTCAGATTGCATTTAGATAAAATAAAATAAAAATAAAAAAACAAAAAAAAATCTACATATAAAAGCATTTTTCATATATTGGAATTGTGTCAATACATCATCACTAAATCTAGCACAATTCATATGTTTACTACTAATTATTGTTGTATGAGTAACATTCTAGTAGTTTTTTTATACAGTAAATGTAAAATTGCAACTCAATAACTTTTATCTCCAAATAATTTAACATTCTGACTTCTAACCCCAAAAGTATTAAACACAGATTAAAAACCCCGGCTAATATATACAAATGAATTAAACACTGCCACTTATATATCAAATAAAATATGTTAAGTAAGAATCTAACTCCGCAATTAACTATAAGTATTTAATATGTCAATTATTTATCAAATTAGGCAATTAACAATCATCAAATATTAATAATAAGTTAAAATTTTAAAATAAGGAGTTAATTAAAACTCCTAGTTATTGTACTGTGCTCAAACGCTCAGTGTTGACAGGGTCGGAATTTCATTTTCTTGGAGGAGTGGACGAATGGTGCGCAAGAAAATGGTAAATGGATGGTGGGTGCGTGCAGGTTGGGCGATGTTGAGTTAAGAGGGAGAAGGTTGAGGTTGGGGTTTCAATTTGGGGGGAAAAGGAGATAGGAAGTTTCTTCCATAATCGATTCAAAAAAATTAAAAAAAGAAGATAAGGGTAGGATTCAAACCCTTGATCTACAACACTGGTTCAAGATAAAAATTACCATTGTACTGCACTTCAACATCTAGAATAATGTCGCACAAATAATGATTATAACCATTTTTCCCAAAAAAACTGTGGGTTCAATGAACCCGTTTGAGCCCCACGTGTATCCGCCCCTGCTATGGACAGTGGTAACTAATAAAGTACCCAAATATCCCGAGACTTTGTAAGGCATTGCAGTAGAACAAATCATATTAAGTTCCAGAGATATATCAAGTATGTATATTCTACCCAAAATCTGGAAGCAGATGAAGACAAAAAAGCCAAATAATTAATGAAATGATATTTAATTTCATGATTAATGATTTGTCCATGCGATACGAGATTTATAGAAATTACACTCCACATCACAGCCATGTTAATAAACATAGTCTTGAAGTGAATAGGGACACTAAGGCAACAAAGAATTATCATCAAAAATAGAACAAGAGTCCTCCCAAACAAATACCTAACATTGCTATCAAGTTTTACTTGCCTGCATAACTGCATTGAGGGTTTTGTCTTTAAGGTGAATTCTTAAGTCAGGTGCTAAACTACTTCGAATAGCCTGTGCATTATTTTTCGAATTTTCTAATCTTTTTTTTTTTTTTTTTTTTTATCTCTATTTACAACATTTTTACACAAGCAAAATTTAAAATATACAACAATAAGCAAACTGAAAAAAGAAGAACTACTAGTTTGGTACAATCTGATATGCCTTTTTTTAGAATAAATAGAATAAGGTGAGGAGAATAAAGCCTCAGCAATAATGCGTTAATAACAATCCATCATTAAAACAACAAAAATAATTTCATGTATTTAGAAGCTACAACAAATTGTTTCAAAATGGTTGCTTATATAATTAGTAGTAATATTAACTAGAATCAATTTGAGTGTCAATATAGTCTTTCCAAAAACATAATTAAGAATCAACTAACCGGAAAACATAGGATTGCTGTTGCAGCAGGAGGGAAAACAAGACGCAAGCCATCCATAGGGTGCTTATGATGAAAGCCATGAATAAGATAATGGATAGTGTTACCCCTATAAAGATTATACTTTTTTTTTTTTTTGAGAAGAATAAAGACTATACATTGGTACAACCATACATTACTAAATCACATGAGAAGATAAAAGAGCAACCAAAGAGATGTACAACTCCGTCATTTTTATCAAATCAAATATAAGTTAAAAGTTAAAAGGATAGGCGAGACATAACTAACCAATAGCTCTTTGTTTTAATGTGGAAGAGAAAACGATGTAACGTGTATTCAATAAATGTCCACACAAAAATACCAAAAATCACCAGTAGTCCAATCTCAGAAAGAGTGTGACCCATCCGTATAGACATGGAGATGCACCAACACACAACTGGAAGCCAGATAGTTGGAATAGCCCACCACACAGTTAGGGTTAGAAACTGTATAAAGGAAATACATGTCAGGAAACTGAATGCATTTAAGGGTTTTCATAGAATAGAGGCATACCTTAATCAATTGTTGCCTAAATATGTATTCAAGGGTGAAGTTAAAAGGAAAAATAAGAACACATAATATATCTAAGAAATTAGAGACGAATACCTCCCAAAAATCACTTTCGAAGAAACGAGGGCCTTCGTTACTAACAATAGGCTGGTGTACCCATTCGTCATAAGATTCGCCAAGGTGACCAACCTACAAACAATTGTAATGTCACACAATAGAGCTTTTGACTTTAAATTCAAGCAAGTAATATAATACAAGTTCGCATTTCTTAATTAAAATTTCTATTAAGAATAAAGTTTGAATTTCTTCATTTCTTTATCATCTCATTTGGAATTTCTATAAATTAAAGGAAAAATTAGAAAAAATAATCCCAACTTTCATTAATTTTGGTACAATAATCCCAACTTTGGACAATTTTGGTACAATAATCCCAACTTTGGACAATTTTGGTACAATAATCTCAACCGGTCAACAAAAGTCGACAACCTTTAATAAGAAGTCACCATGACATGTGTCAGCTTGTCATTGGTCCAAAAATAAATGAAATTAAAAAAAATATATAAAATAAATTAAAATTAAAAAACCAAAAAAACAAAAAAAAAAAAAAAAAAAAAAAAAATTCCCTCCCTCAAAACCACCCGCCCCACCCAGCCCTCCCCACCCCCTCCACCAGCCCCTCTCACCCGCCGAAACACCTCCCCCTCCCTTCCCCCACCCAAGAAATCCTCCCCCCTCCCTTCCCCCACCCCGTAAAAACTCCTCTTATCCCTCCCTTTCCCCCACCCTTGAAAATACCGAAAACGGCAAGGGGGCTCAATTTTCGATGTTTTCGAGGGTGGGAGAACAGGAGGGGGAGTTTTTACTGGGTGGGGGAAGGGAGGGGAGGTGTTTCGGCGGGTGGGGGAAATTTTCCACGGGTGTTTTTCGATGGGGGCTGCTGGAAGGGGTGGGGGAGGGTTGGTGGAGGGGTGGTTTGGGTGGGGGCTGGTGGTTAAGGAGGAAGGGGTGGTGGGTTTTTTGTTTTGTTTTTTTTTTTTAATTTTCTAAGTTTTTTTAAAAAAAAAAACAATTAATTTTGGGCTAATTATGTGCTGACATGTGGCTTTTAAAAAAACATAATAAAAAAAATTAACTTTCTCAACGGTAACCGGTCATTAGGACTGAAGAAAAAGAAGACCCCCCAAAGTTTGGATTATTCTAGAATAATCCAAAGTTGGGATTATTGTACCAAAATTGATGAAAGTTGGGATTATTTTTTATAATTTTTCCTAATTTAAAATGTAAATGAAATCTAATAAACTTTGACAAATAAAATAAGAAAAAATTCTAGTGGGTTGTTTAAATATATAAACTTTTTAAATATTAATTTGGAAAAATACACTTTAATTATTCCAACTTTGATCAATTTACTTTAAATAATTCCAACTTTTGATTATTCTGCAATAATCCCAATTTTCACCTCTGTTTTTTTTTCTAACAATCCCAAACCGATCAACAAAATTCAACAACCTATTATTGAAGGTAATTTTCCTCATGTCGGCATCTTAGTGGTCCAATAAAAATAAAAAAATTAAATGTTAAACAACCCCTAACCAGCCCGACAACCATAGCCACCTGCCTCAGCCTGGACAGCCTCCTCGTCCTCTTGCCCCACCCCCAAGACCATCCTCCTTCCATAGCCACATGACCGCACAAATCACCTCCCTAACCCCACAACCAGAACCACCTAAAACTTGAACCCGCCACCCTGAAACCACCTCAAATCGCCCCAAACTCAAACCCCAAAATCAAAACGAAAGCTTTCCACCCTAAATGAAAGATTTTCCTAACCGAAAATTTCCCCCATCCACCAAAACGGTGTTTAAGTGGTGAAAGAGCAACATATTTGGGGTGTGGAAAGGAGAGAGAAAGAAAATGAGGAAAGGGAAAGTGTCGAGATTTTAGGATGGGCTGGATCTGGAAAGGATGAGACTAGGAAGGGAGGTTTTTAAGATAGGCTGGGAAGGGCAGAGTGAACCGACGAGCAAGGAGGGGTGAATTTACCGGCGGACTGAGAAGGGGGGAGTTTTTCCGGCGGGCTAGGAAGGGGGAATGAAGGTGTTTGTTTATTTTCTTTTTTTGGTTTTTATTTAACCAATAAGTGTGTGACATGTGGCATATTAGAAAAACAATACAAAATAACATTTTCAGCAAGTTGTAAGTTTTTGGGATTAAAGAAAGAAAACGGAGGTGAAAGTTGGGATTATTGCAGAATAATCAAAAGTTGAGATTATTTAAAGTAAATTGATTGAAGTTAAGATTATTAAAGTGTATTTTTCTTATTAATAGAAGGTTATGTTTATATATAGTTGTGCAGTTTAATATGTGCGTTGAAAATTGTGCAAAAAAGATATAAAAGGACTAACTTATAAAAATGGAGCGAGTAGAAGGAATGAAAGCAACAATCTCAAATCTCAATTTAACTTTTACAAGAAAAGAAAAACTAGAGCCTAAAGATGCCATACCTGAAAAACGAACAATAGGTTTGCTTAAATCCACAGTAAATCCTTGGGCAACCATCCTGACCTTTTTTTTTTTGTTTATCTTATACCTACATAATAAGAGATAAAATTATTGAGCAATAGATTCTCTATTACTGAAGATGAAATGCATTATAGTTCAATATGTTACTTTCAATTTTATAGTTTACACTTCTTGTAGATCAATATAACTTTTAAATCCTTATTATAGTTTAGCTAATAGAGAGGCTAACAAGGAGAGGGGGGAATTATACACTAGTAGAAAATAGTAAATGGGAAGCCCCAAATGACAAGCGGTTTTGAAATTCCACTTCCAAAATTGTAAATGGCAAGCGATTTTGAGTGAACCGCTTGCCAAATTGTAAATGGCAAGCGGTTTTGTATGAACCGCTTGCACAAGCCCCAAATGGAAAGCGGTTCGTACTGTGAACCGCTTGCCTTCAAAAAAAAAAAAACCGTACCCTACCCATTTTATAACCCACTCTCAGCTCACCCCTCACCCGTTCTATCTCCAATCCTCTTTTCTCAGTCTCGATCTCTTTCTCACTCCTCCCTCCATTTCTCCTCTCCCTCCATTTATCAGTTTCTCACTCCCTTCAATATCACTCTCCTCGATCTCTTTCTCACTCTTACTCTCCTCGACTAAAACCCCCAAAAAAATCTGGAAAATTCAAGTAAAATTTCTACCCAAAACCCCCAAAAAATTCGAGCATTGAGTAAAATTTTGAGCAAATTTCGAATTGTGGGTTTTGATTTGTGGGTTTCGATTTGTGGGTTCCAATTTATGGGTTTCGATTTTGTGGGTTTCAATTTTTTTTTTTTTTTTTGTGGGTTTCGATTTTAATTTGGTGGATTTTTTCGAGTTTTTTAGGTCAAATTCGACCATGAAAACTCTACATATTTTAGCCTTAAAACCCAAATTTCAAGCCAATTTCGAGGTTTTTGGTGGAATTCATTGTTTGTACCCTTTTTTATTGTTTTAGTTACTTTAAGGTTTTTTTTTAATTTAATGGTGATGTGTGGTTGAATTGTCTTGTTTCAGGCAAATTTGGTGATGGTGGGGGTCGTGGTGGGCGAAAAGGGCTGGGATATGGTGGGTGGTACTGGTGGTGGTGTTGGTGCGTGGTCTGGTGCTGGTGTGTCGTCTGGTGCTGGTGCGTGGTGCGCGTGGATGGTGGTGGCGGTGCACGTGGACGGTGGTGGTGCTGGTGGTGGAACAAGAGCTATCTCGTATTAATTTTTTTTTTCAGACAACTTGTATTAATTTTTTTTTACAGAACTTTTATTCATTTTATTACTGTATTAATTTTTTAAAATATTTTTTTTTTGAAAATGTATTATTACATTAATTAATTATATAAAAATATTATTGTTTTTATATATATATATATATTTTTGTTTTTCAATTTCAGTGAAAAAAAAAACAATATTTTTTTATAGCCTTAATGGGCAGCGGTTTGGCGCCAAAACCGCCGCCCTCTCTCTTCAAATGGCAAGCAGTTCTGAACCGCTTGTCATTTAAATGGACAATGATAAGCCCCCTGGTAGCGAGCGATTCAAAATCGCTTGCCATTGGGGGTTTTGAACCGCTTGCCATTTTGTTTATTCTACTAGTGATATGTCCATGCAGCCTTTGCGGCAGAATTCACTGGACAGTAGAAAAAAGGAGCTGCCCAAGTTTCCTCGGCGCAATGGTAAATAAGACAAAAAAATTTAGTATTTTATGTTTTTTGTTGTACTTTTATTTCCCTGTTTCTTCTTGCTCCTTCATCGAAATTCGCAAATCACAAGTGTAAATACTTTCCTCCTCTATCTACTCATGCTTTCCACCTCGATTGGAGCTGCTTCACATAAACCACCATCTCCACCACTAATTTTCCGGCGGCTTTGCTGCCGAATTAAACAAAAATCCTAATAAAAAAAAGAGAGAAAACGTGGCATGGTTAACCTCAAATGGAAAAGGTTATCATCATCCTCCATTGAAACTATTTCCCAAGCTACTATTACTCCATTAAATCTACTTCGCAAATCACCATTCTAAGTTGGACTTATGAAACCCAACAGCGGTATATGAGCCTTGCTAATTTATTTTTGTAACTAAAAATTTTCCAAGGGTTTAAAAATGATAATTTCTTGTTATGTTGGTAATTAGATTAGTTGCTTGATTTTATTGATTTTAATCTCGTTTCATTAAGAACTTTGGCACCAGAACCCAGATTTTCGTCCATGACTAGTGAATTTAGGGTGGAATCGATATTCTAGAAACATTTTAACCCTTTCAGGATTTAAAAAAAGCCAAATTCTGCCCAGAAATGCCTGTTTCGAGGGATTTTTCATATTGACGAAAATTTTTAAATCTTTTAAACCTTAAATCTTAATGGCATATTAATTATGATTATGCATTTGGTTCTTTCCTTTATGCTTTTGCAATTTTAGATCACTTTTGAGCATAATTACTTATTAGTAATTGGTGCTTAATAGTTTGTTCAAATTTTCACATAATTGCAAATAAATTGCTTTAACTGTGAAAAGTGTTTCTTGAGGCTCATAAGTACAAAAGATTCACTCTTTAATTATTTTAAGTGATTGAAACTTTGTGTTACTAAATTCCATTTATGAAGTTTTTATTTAACCGTTTATTAAGTTGATTGGAATCATAAAGTTTCAATCTTGTGGTAGAATTTTAATTTATCTTCATATTGGAAGATATAATTTTCAAAGATTCACAAGTTAAAAAGTTGGAATCCTTATTTGAATATTTGTCTTCATAATTCCAATTCTCTCTTGAATTTTGTCAAATCTCATGATTAATTTATGTTGATTAAACTAATGTTGAGAATGGCCCTATTCATTTTGTTGCATCAAGTTGAACCAATTTTATCAAAGAATAGTTCTTGGAATTGAAATAATTTTGGCTTTGTGCAGAATGAATTTATTAAGTTAGACTAGTTATATAAAATTTTGCTCATTAGTTAATTATAAAATTAATTTGGAATTAATTGATTAAGTCAAACAAAAGTTCAAAATTAATCCCGAGAGTATAGCACGCAAACCAAGGCAAAACCATCCTCGCCACGGTTGTGCGTGTGCGCATGCATTGCTTGCTGTGATTGTGCGTGTGTGTGCGCTCTTTGGTACGACGGGGAGGTCTGTACGTAAGGGTTGTGCGGTCGTGGCTGCTAGGCAGCACGAGCCCAGCACAACAACAAGGCTGGTGCAAGCAGCTAGCAGCCTTGCAACCCCCTGCCGAGCCTTAGTGCCTAGGAAACCAAGCCCTGTTTCTTGGTTCTAGGCACACGAAAGCGTTGGGCTACGTATTTGCGTTTTTGCCAATTTGGAGGCTAGGCCTCGGTTTTGAGCAGCACTTGCAAAATTTTAATTAGTATAAATACTTATACTTTAATTAGTATAATTTACAAAATGAATAATTTAATAAATACGGGGTACATAACAAAAGTTTACTATTAAATTTATGGAGTACTTTTTAATTGATCATTTTATTATATTGATTTTTAAGATCGGATATAAATTATTCCATATTTGTAAAATGAATTTTTATCTACCAAAATGAATAAAATATAAAGGATAATTTTTAAATAATACTATGTAATGGAGTATATATTATACATATAGAAACTTGTTTCTACTTCTTTTTTCCTTTTTCTTATCGTTCTACGCTACCTCTTGTTGGGAATCCTAGATCCATCACTGAGTGTAACACTTATTAAAACACGGAGAGAGTATCAAGAAAATGAATGAAAATACTTTTGACTCTCCCTTTTTTCATCATGTAACGGTTCAAACATAATATAAGCTCTAGTATCATAAATTTCATCCAAATATAAGGAAAATTTTATTTAATTACCAAATTATCAATGGAGAATTCAATTGACAATATTACAATAATGTAAACTGACAATTAAATTAACAATAAACCCTTGATTATATATGTAACTAGTGTTGTGCCCAGAGAATGTCAAGATAATTTATTACAAATTTAGGATAAATTTTGTTGTACCTAATCAACTCTTAACATACTCTTAACATATACTCCGTACTTGATACTTCATTGATACGAATCATATTTTATAAGAAACATAATCCTTTTCGATATGGGATATTTTGAGATATGAAACTATTAATAAAATTATAGAAACA